AGCCAAATTGGCTGGTGAGTGAAAAAGTTAATTTCAAACCCTGGTTATGTTAAATTGCAATAATAGGCTATTTCACAAAATTATAATTTTTTTCTGTATTTTTGATCAAATAAATGCAGGCTTGATGAGCATAAGAAGTTGGAATCACGTTGTTTCCATTCGCTCAAACTGATTTGCTGAAGTCGAAACGCGGACGTAAGAAAGATTACTCCATTAGCGCAAATCCCGCTCGCTGTGAAGCGGGAGCGACCTGCTGGCAGAGGATTCCGCTTGGTCTTAAAGCCTCCCTGTTCACAAATCAAACACTTGTCAAAAAAGAATGATTAATTCTCAATTTAGAGTTTGTTATTCGTATGGTCTAGGTGGTCATACGGCATATGCCTTAAATACGGGACAAACTGCTATACAGAAAATGAAAGCTATACGGAACGCTTCTTTGAGCCTGACCCCCATGTGAGCAAACCACTAATGAGCCTTGTAATTAATACGCAGTGGCCACTTACGAGTTGAAAGCCGCAATAACCACGCGGCCGCCATTGAAACGTCACCCTTAGTTGTCATGGCATGGCTGTAATTAACACAACCCAGCAGACACAAAGAGGAAATAGATTTTAAACCAATCCAGTCCGGTGCCAGCCCAGAGCAAAGATGATTAATGTCTCGTTGTTTTAATCGATTAATATCTCGCTTAACATAGGGAAGGCCTGGAGGGAGACTTTATTTATGGCCTTTGATGATTTGGAGCTTTCAAAAACCTTTAATGGATATATTTGTTTTCCTTTTCCCTGTCTTTCCTGGTTTCTCAGATTTCCGCTCGACAAATCTTGTAAATCATATTAGTTATTTTTCATAGCAAAAAGGGAAGATCTATTTACCAGCAGAAATTAGGATTAAAGGCCCTTTCATACCAAAAACGATAACTATACAGATAGCTACAGTGATCAAATCCAAAATCATCTTTGTATAAAACTTTTGACTCTAATATGGCCAAAAAAAATAATAAAAATAATAATAAATAAATAATTATCTTTTGGAAGTGTATGCAAATGACTTAAATGCTCAAAGGGATAGTTCACCCCAAAATGAAAATTCTGTCATTAATTACTCACCCTCATGTCACTCCAAACCCGTAAGACCTTCGCTCATCTTCGGAACACAAATTAAGATATTTTTGATGAAATCGGAGAGCTTTCTGACCCTCCATAGACAGCAACGGAACTACCACAGTCAAGGCCCTCAAAGGTACCAAGAACATTAACAAAATAGTCCATGTGGCATCAGTGGTTCAACCATAATTTTATGAAGCTATGATAATACTTTTTGTGCGCAAAAAAACAAAAATAACAACTTTGTTCAACAATTCTTCTCCCCTGAGTTACCATCTACCACCATTATCGAGTAACACAACGCATGCGTGTGCTTTCCTCTGCTCGTAAACAAGGTGCGTTAGCAGCATCACGCGCATGTGTCATGTTACTCTCTATAATGGTGGTAGATGGGAACTCGGGGTTAGAGAAGAATTGTTGAATAAAGTCATTATATTTGTTTTTTTTGCGCACAAAAAGTATTCTCGTAGCTTTGTAAAATTACGGTTGAACCACTGATGTCACATGGACCTTTTTAACGATGTTCATACTATGTTTCTGTGCCTTGACTGTGGTAGTTACCTTACTGTCTATGGAGGGTCAGAGAGCTCTCGGATTTCATAAAAAAATATCTTAATATGTGTTCTGAAGATGAATAAAGGTCTTACGGGTTTCGAACTACATGAGGGTGAGTAATTAATGACAGAATTTTCATTTTGGGGTGAACTATCCCTTTAAGCTCTTTAAAGTCAGATGCAATTTGATTGGTTGTCTTTTTTTTCATCAGCTGAAAAATAGAAACGTTCTGAAAAATTCCAATAATATAATTTCTCTGGGCCCTATTTTAACGATCTAAGCGCATGGTCTAAAGCGCACGGCGCAGGTGCACTTAGGACATGTCCAAATCCACTTTTGCTAGTTTAACGACGGGAAAAGCGGTCAGCGCATGGTCTAAGAGGGTTGTCCCTATTCTCTTAATGAGTAATGGGTGTGTTTTGGGCATAAAGTGCAATAAACCAATCAGAGTCTCATCTCCCATTCCCTTTAAGAGCCAGTTGTGCTCGTGCCATAGCGGATTTGCTATTTACACATTTGCAAGCGCAAAGACCTAATGAGTCTCCAGAAAGGAAACGGATCTGCTCGTGCACGAGCTTAATTCTGATACATGAAATAACTATCCATTATGACATGTAGGCATTTTTATATTTATGTAGCCTACACAATAACAATATTTTACATTGCAATCCTTTTTTAATAATTTTTAATATCTGGCATGTTTGTGTGCTGCTGCGCATCCCTATGTGTGTAATAAGCAGAGTGTACGCGCGCTGTGGACCCGCCTATACTAACGCGCTCTTTAAATAACAAAAAAAACTACTGCGCCCTTGACTTTAGACCAGGTTTTTGTTGATCAATGGAGCAGTCTATTTCAGTTGCCTCAAAATAGCAACGTGCCAACAATGCACCTGAACAGGGCCATTTCCAGGCATAGGCGAGCTAGGCGATCGCCTAGGGCGCCACCAGCTGAAGGGGCGCCAATGAGCGCACATACTGGCACTTTTAGCAGGGTTGTGATAAAGAGTGGCACAGTCACCCTGAAATATGACTGCCCCCACTGGATACTCCAACATTATTGGGCTAGAGTACTGTCAATCTGACGATGGCTGTATGCCACTAGGTCAGAGTGCTGTCAATTGCTGCCTGATTGTTGCATGCAAAGTTTGCATTTGGAGCGCTCAACAATGCCATTAGATCAGTGGGCTCTGTCAGTGCTTTGGCAAGGTAACACTTTTTTTTGCCATGCAGTAAAGCTAAGTTCAAAGGCCAATTTAAAATATTGGTACAGTAAATAAAGTGCACAAAATCAGTATTTTGTTTAGGCAGTATTTGT